GTTAAAGGTCCTGGGCTAAAAATTGGGAGACCATGAATTTTAGTCCTTGTTTGGAATGAAGCCAACTGAATGACTTTCGGCCTAGGAAGAAGGCAATGGCACCCAGCTTCTGAAAAAGGTTGCTGAGAAAATTGCCTAAACTTGTCCAGGTAGTCACCAGAGTCATGACCAACTTGAAGGCAGGGGGAAAAAAGTCATCTTAATAGTGTATTTACAGGTATGGTGTAGAAAATGATTGAAACTGCATTCATTTTCAAAACCTTTGAATATGTAGGATCTAGAACTGAAAGAATACTCAATCTATATCATGATTAAACTGCCCCAGAATGCTTCACTTGCCTCTTAGAAGAAAGAGAGGAAATTACTTTGGATTTAACTGAAACATCAATAAAGATAAATGATCAATTAAAAGCAAGGGTGTACAGTCTGGGCCCCAGGTTCCAGAAGTTGCCTAGTGTAACAGAAGGGAGAAAAGATTACATGCATTGGGAATATTCCTGTTACTTTATTTAAACAATTTAACTGTAATTCAATATAAAAGCTAATTTATTCAGTTTACTTTCTATTCTGGCCCTGCTTTTTGGAATGTTCCTCAATGACATACCCCTCAAAAATTAAGTGCAGCCCTTGGCTTGAGAAATATTGCATGCCCTTGGTTTAAAACAACTTTGCATTGAAATGCATCATATCAAGAATTAGAAATAACTCTTGTTCCTTTTCTTGAATTCAGTGAGTTGTACCAACATTACTATTAATGTGAGATGTCAATATTGTATGCAGACTTCTGAGTTCAAAAATTCAGACATTTTTCCTTATTTTTAATCAGCTGATGGAGTTTTACTGTCAATCCTGTGAGACAGCCATGTGCCAGGAATGTACAGAAGGGGAACATGCAGAACATCCAACAGTCCCTCTTAAGGATGTAGTAGAACAACACAAGGCTTCTCTTCAAACACAATTAGATGCTGTGAACAAAAGGTGAAACTGAAACATTTCCTGATTATAGACTTGCATGTTAGGGCAATCTTCTCCAGGTTGGCACCTTCCAGATGAGTTGTGGTTATAATTTCCAGAGCATGAGTCTGGGAATTCTAAGAGTATGGGTCTCACATAACTAGGGAGTGTCATGTTGCAGAAGTCTGTTCTGAAAAACAAAAACAGATCATGGTTTATGGCCATTTGAAAATGCTACTTGTGACCTTCTTGAGAGAATGTACAAGGGACTTCTGCTTCCTGGACTTTTCCTCTCATGGAAATTTAGAAAGTTTATAAGGTGAAATAATATTCTTTGTTGAAAATGAAAAACACCAGCCCTGATTTATTATACCTTCATTCTTCCTTACCTTATTTAGAGAATAGTCCAAATAAATGCTTAATAGACATTGGTAGTATTCATATAATGTTAAGCCAAGGCTTATGTTCTTAAAAACCTTTGAGTCCTCAGGGCTTTCCCTTCTATCCACCCAAATTTTCTAATTATAACATCATTATAAAGTAGTATTACACAAATTCACTTGGCTCAAGCGCTGCACCAAGCTTTGAGGTCTGTATTCCAAAACTAGGTGGGTGAAGGCAGAGGTTGATCGGGAAGTGGGGGTTCACAGGTAGGAAAATGCAAAGATGGGACCAAACTTTTGACCCCATCTGCTGGGGGCCATGTAAGAAGACTGATAGGTTGCACGTGCCACACAGGCCACTTTTGGACCCCTAGTTTAAAACTTGGTGCCAAAAAACGTAGAAGATTCATAAATAAGCCAGTATATTGTAAAATTCATTGGCCACATTTATACCTAAATACAGGCCAGAATTATTTGGGATTTTGGCTCATTGGGAATGAGCAGCGTGCTGATGTTTGCTGCATAGTTTTTCCATTTGGTTCCTGCTGGCAGGAGCAGTTAAACAAACCCAGATGTTTTGATATGGGAGGACAAACCAGATTTCTTTGTTCCTTGTAATGATAAATCACAGGCAGAACTGTGTGCTTTTGTTTAATGCCCATGCTGACAGGAGGAGGCAAGTGGAATCAATTGTGTATTGAGCATGAGCATGCTGCTTGTTCTAAGTTAGCAGAAATTTTGATGAATTCTGGCTTAGAATTGCAAGTGAAGGTGGCTGTCATGTTAAACAGTTCAAGATTCCTCTAGAATTGACAATACTTTGTATAGTCTGAAAATTATAATGCTAACAAAACTTAAGAAAGCCAGATGTGTATATAAATTTGCTATGTCCCTGAAGATCACCAAGTGTGTGCTTGCTTCACATGTTGCTCTAAGCTATAGTTTACTGAATAATTACAGTTGATTGGGTTCACACAAAATACTAAGCTACAATCAAACAAATTATATTCTGCCTTAGCATAATTTGTAAATTCAGCTAACGTTTGTGCTACAGCTTTTGACATTGAAAAAGCATGCATCCAATCTAAATTTAAATCTATTTATTGATAACTATTATATATAATATATGGGAATAGATTAAATGTTTCCCACTAAAAAGAATGGAGAAGCAAATACCTAATGGTCAAATCTGTAATACACTGCATTCAAACATAATATTTAACTATGGCTTGGCATTTTGTGTGCAGTTTCTTCTTGTTATTATGATTGAGAATTATTTAAAATTTAATAATTGTGTAATGATAATGCCATGTTTCATGAATGTTGAAGGAAAAACTATAGCAATGCTATTTGAAATGTTAACTGCTTATTTTT